CTCTGATCAGAGTGCAGCGCTCAGTTTAGTGATGAGTCGAGGTGTAAACAGCACATCAATTTTCACAATGCCACCTTTAAACTTGAGCTATAACGTGAAGACGAATGGAGTGTGTTGTCGGGCTGCCATACCATATACTTCGAGCGGTGAAACGGGATAACAAATGTAATAGAACAACTACGTTTTCTCTGGTAATTCATTGGCATATTTTTTCAAAAGATAAAGCTGAATGATCCATACAGAATTCGATTCATAACATAATTTTTTTAATGCTTTACACGAACTGAGAAATAGTATTTGGGTGCGATGTTTTGACACAAGTCCAATTTTTACTACACACAACTCATTCGATGACACTAAACACCAAAGGATTGACAGGTATCCATTAATTGTGCGGTGATTTTCGTGAGGTTTTTTCCTAATAGTATTTACGGTATGCTATCCATCTTTATCAAAGTCACGTGAGTATATAAACCTCACATTGGGATGAGTTCCACACGGAGCCTAAGTGACCTCGATCAGGACACATAATGCTCCATCAGATAACACACTAGTTTGCACCCTATATTTAAGCTTTCTGAAGAACCTTTGATGATGTACTAATAGTGTTGGTAATTTCAATTCGGAGCTGCAGACAACTGTTAGGCGTATGTAACCACAATATTGATCGACCAAATCCACTGTTTAGAATTCTTTGTGATAACGAATTTTCGATTAAGACACCGCCGAACTCAAAAAAAAATATAGATTGCCGTTGGTAATATGCTCCCCTTATACAAGCCCAGCAAAAAAAATGAACGATCGACAACTAATAGGCATTGATTGACGCATATCTTTCACCCCTACCCAACCCATTATTCGGCATAGACCTTATCTAGTCGATACTGTGCACAATTGTTTGGAAACAGGGCTGATCAATAATGAGTAACGTCAGGAAGATGCGACACGGTTTCCGCACTAGGCATGGTGCAGAATACCAGTAATATATTCTATTAACTCCATCCAGTGATCAAAATAAAAGTCCTAATTGTGGGCGGACTGTTCAACCTCATCCAATATTTTCTCGCTAACCAGAATTTGTTAAGCAACGATTTGTATTTCGATTGGCTATTTTTATTTTACCCAGCTGCTACTTTACACCAGGGTTCCTGGTTGTTCCTAAGGCTCATGCTAAGTTCAAGTTGCTAACGGCAGTCAAGTTTCAGTGATCTGTATCCATGTATTCATTGTTGTGATGGAAATTTCACATCTCATGAATTATAACTCGTTTTTATTCACATTGTTTCAGTTGTAAAATTTTTTCAACAGGTGGCTTAAAACGATAAGGGCAGACCCATGTGTAATTTGGTTCGGTTTATTATTATGTCCTCCGTATTTTCGATAAATTCGCCGGGTGTCAATTGAATTCTCATAGATCCAACACGAGTTACGATAACAGGAATTTGTTTGGAAAATGTTGGTAGTACACAGCAGACGACGTGATAAGCAAAAATCCGGTTGATATTAACCAAGTGGTTATGATTATGCAAGTCCCCATATGTGACAAGCCAACTGACACGTAATTCATGATGCGGCAAATACGATTCTTTATCATTTTCTTAATTTAATAACCTTTTTTATGCTTTTTCCCATAAAACTGAATTTCTTCAGGGTAAATGTACACTGTACTCTACATCAACAGATTCCTTGTAACGCACTGATTTGCTGTCAATTTTCAACTGGTTTTTATACACATATTTTTCACAGGAACTCATAATTCTCGTCCAACTCGGTATGTTCTTTCAACCAAGTTGGACTGTTTCGTTCCCGGCAAACCGTGTCATCAGGACTATTTGGAGATTTCTGCCAAACTACCCAGAAGTTCTGATTTATCTTCGTCAGACGACGATGTCGTTGAGCATGCAGATGGTACTGGTGATGGGGCTGGGGTAAACGAACTGCTGCTCCCGTTCGCTCGAATCTGTTTGGTGAATGCAACCAAGTCCACCGCGGCGGCAGATGAGAGTGGTGCAATGGAGGAACAACAGGCGGAGCAATCGGATGATGCAACAAATGGCGAGTTCGTGTTCGGTCATGGATCGTCTTCCGTCGGGCTTGTGTTCGGCCCACTGTTGCCAGCTGTGGGACTTCAGTTCACATCAAATTTAAATCTGCTCAACATGGATCCACATCACACACCTGGAAAGGGTATTCTGATCGAATATATAGGTGGGTTGAGCCACACGACTGATGGCGTGATTTGAGGCACTTATTTGCCTGGGGTATTGTGATGTTTTGCTGTTTTTGGATATGATTGCCAACCTGTAGTCTCTGGATGTGTGCTGAATTCAACTAATTGATGATAATCTCATCAGCTGCGTACATTCATTCATATCACGCTTGGATAAAAGAGTGTCAGTTTGGGGACAGGAGAGAGAAGGAAATCAATACGAAGGTATTATAATACTGCATGACACGAAGCAAATGCTCATTGAATCCAATCTAGACAAACCCGACTTTTCGTTTACCTCCTCCTGTGTCTACCNTATTTCCGAAGAACTAAGAGACCGCTGTCTAGCAGGATTGCAGAGCATGCACCGAGGAATGTGGTGTCTAACTGGCCCGGGCTTCCGTCCAGCTCAATTGCCCGACATATACTGGATCGCAAGGAATGTGACAAACCTAGGTACACCTTTCGTGTGTTGATCCTCCAGTAGGGTAACCGCCGAGGCAGCTGCCATTCGACGTGACAAGCCAGATTCAGATAAACAGACCGAATTCGTGGCCAGCCACGCGCTTCTCTGTTTTGGGTGTCACTATCCTTCATAACACACTTCGCGCCCTGTTCCTTTACTCAATCCGGTTCGAATTAGTGACTTTTGACCTTTCTATTGCTTGATTTCTCTCCCCCCCCCCGTGTGTGTTCAGCTGTCCCCAAACCTGTCACTCATCTAAGGAAATGTGATCTGAATTTATGTACACTGCTGATGAGGTTACCACGTGTGAGTTGAATTCAACACATCCTGTAATCATGATGCTTCTTCTGGTTCTCATGAAAATGTTAAACGGAGCTGGTTGCGTGAAACATGTAGTCTATTGCCTGAACACCAACCTATATCCGGCTTACTAATGTACGCTCATTACAGTTATCATAGCTGTTTAGATTGCGTGAAGTTGAGTGTCTCCAATTAGTTCCTCCAAGATGGCTTGCTTCACATACCATGGTACGATGAATAAGATGACGAATTAAAAGTCATAGGATCAAGACCGCAAGAAGACAAATGTCACGAGCTGTAAACTTTTCGTTTAATCTTCTCAATCGCGGACGTAAAACAAACAATCACATTTATAGCACATTGAATTTGTAAACCCTAGTGAATGGACATGTACAGTTAAACAGAGGCTATTAGAACGATGTGTGCCAAAAGTTAAAGTCAGCTTACAACCGCACATTCCCAGCTGCTCAACTCCGACTGATTACCTCTACTCGTGGAATCGATTTGGACAAACGTGTACTCGGTTGGCAATCCGGTTCTGTCTCACACACTATACCAGTTCACCTGCAGCTACGGTGACGCATACGTAGGCAGAGCAAACCGTCAATTGTCGCAGTTGATGGCCGAACACATTCCAAAGTGGTTGGTGAAGTCGATGAAGTAACCCAAGCCTAGTAATCAGGCGGTCACAAGTAACTTGGGATCATCAATTGCAAAATACCGTATGACAACCAAACACATAATGGATCCCGCTTCCTCTTTCAAATTGTTGTTACGTAACTATAATGCAAAACTGTTGGCAATAAGTGAGGCGTTGCTAATCAGATTACATAATCCCGTTCTGTGCGCCCAAAAGTTGTTGATCCAATCAGTTCACTTGCCGTTGAGCTGACCGATATTTTTAAATTCTATTAGCCCCCGTCCAACTGTACATGTCCATTCACTAGGATTTACAAATTCAATGTGCTATAAATGTACGTGTTTGTTTTTCATCACCGATTGAGAAGAGTAAATGAAAAGTTAACATCTCGAGACATATATCTTCTTTCGGTCTTGATAGGATGGATAAAGGGGACCCAATGTTTCATAATTTGTGGGACGGATAATACAAAACCCTGGATTTGTAGTAATGGACCGCAGAATTCATCGTTAGGCTTGGTTTGGTGTTGCTTTAGAGCGATCGCGGAGTTCCTTTCCGTCTCGACTGTGTATGACTGTGACAAGATTCATATATCAAATGTTATAACCCCAAGGAACACACGTGAATGGGAATTAAGTCAATTGATCACCAAGACAGATATGTATTTATGAAAATTCGGGAATACTTCGGTTTGACAGACTTGTTATTAGCGGAGTGATTGCACCAACTACTAACTGATTAAAATTTTTTAAGGTATCATCTATGAACCGAATATAGGTCCAGTTCTTCCGCACCACCACTACTCAGATCTTCAAATGAACTTCAACGTCTTAGTGTTGACGTATCAGAAGGTCACGGACGTTAGCATTCTTTCACCCACCTCTTCATTCTAAAACTGCTAGCCATGCTACCTAAAACAAGCTCCCAACTTTCGTGCACTCTTATCAATTAGTGACCATGTTTCAGATCCTAGTGTGAATACAAAGCGAATGGAAACCGAAATAAGACGTAGCTAAATACAGCACTTTCTTTTACTGCGTATTTATAACTTTAGTTTAAAATGTGGAAAATTGTGTCTAAACCTCACATTTCCGTTTTCCGTCTTGCAGTGAATTTTTATTACGCCTACTCACCTGATCATACAACGAAAAAGGAAGTGATCTCGATATGAGATTGTGGATTGTCAATAAGCTAGATACTTGCTGGAGGCAAACAGATGCATGAGCCACTGTTCGCAGTGTGGGACCATTTTACTCAGTTTATCTAACCTTTGATTCTACTGCTCTTGGCGTTTGTTTTTGTTTGCCAATCCCAGCCAGCATGGTTTACCTGGTGAATTACCCCTTTGCCAGCGGTATCAACCTACCGGTCAAGATCTCCGAACTAACTGTTCATCTATAATACTCTGACCACCTTACCAAATATACCAGTCTCAGCTATTGGAATTTACAACACAATAAGCCCTTTGTGTAAGTGCCCCAGCTTTATTAACAGTGGTAATCTTTCATGTCTGATCAAGGCTTCCACTCCATGGATATTATGCTTAATGAATAAATCAGCCCAGTTGTTTTGCCCTTGTTTCCTTCGATGGGATATTGATCTGAAGGGGGATTTTTATCCCCATATATTTTTATGGCGAAATCACTAAGAATCACTAAGAAACACGAACAAATTGTGATCAGCAGTTTCTGCTCCGAACCCGAAGGTTGACAGTCCCAGCCCCAAACGAGACTCAAGTCAATGGGGTACAATGTTGAAAAGTCTCCGAAAGGATGAAAAGGCTGATAAGTGCTCTTTGCTATTCAACTGAACAACTTTACTCATAAATAGTACATATATGAAGGTAGCGGATAGCCGATTAACACCAATAGAGTGAAAATACACCGTATGCTATCTTTCAATGTGCACGAAAGAAGCTGAGAAAATGGTAAATTAACATCAAATGCATTGTCATCCCATACGTCTAATCAGATTATTCCACCGATTTTCTCCCCCACCCCACCGGCAGCTCTTTTTTGTACACCGATCAAAGCGCCCTCAGGAAACGGACTGGTGGACTATCGATTCCGAGCACTTGCCCATTCCACTGTTGCCTATGCGGAAATTTTCTGTCCCCCTGATCGTTGGCTTGAGCCCCAACAACCAACATCATCTGCCGAATCATTTGTGATCCCTAAACAAGATTCACAGAACACTAGTAATGATACATTCCCTTGGTGGCTTCAACGTCGACGACATGCAACACACATTTGTGATCATCATCAGAAATCGTGGAAACCTCACCGTATTCCTGCCGCATGCTTGACAGGTACAGGCACACTTTTTAAACCCGTTACAATCTCTGTCAATGTGATCTGTTGTTTCCGCGATAAATTCAGATAACGGAAACGCATGTTCACACAGTTACATATACTTATGCAACAGTGACGTTCTTAGGCACAGAACTGAATGATATACAGATTTGCATATAAACGCATGAGTCCAGATTGTGCGTCAAACAAATCACGGTACAATAATCTTTATAAAAGGGAAACAGAGTTCATAATGCACTCGAGGGCTCAATACCGCTAAGTTGCTTAGGCCGAACTGGGTGAATTTCATTACGCAGCTCACAATCGGAGCCTTCAGCTAGTCACAGTTTGACCCGCAAGCAAGCGAGGCGGTGTTTGAAAAGCGCAATTCATTGAGGGCCGTTGTCTATTTCTTCGGATCATACGCCCTTTGAACGGGTTCAAACATTCCAGTTGTCCAATATGCCTCGATACCCTATCATGTCGGTGATCACTCCCACAACCAGGATAGTGTGAGTTGAGTGTGGTTTGTACGGTTATGCTTGGCCGGTTTGGAATCGCGGTTTTAGCCAAATTCCCTAAGTGAACTGCCAGGGGAATGATTTCCCTCAATGTACCCAGTAAAATAAAATCCTCCTCCATGAACATCTACAAAGCTTAGTGGTATTAATTGTTATTTCAATATTCCTTCTGTTCATTTTCTTCAATCAACAAAATGGCGTGAAAATTTGGGATATTTTATCCATCAAGATGTATGTTTCGTACACCTTTCCCTCCAATCCGTGAAAGGAACCAATGCTCCATTTATTAGAGTTGGATTTCCTAATACTCGTAACGTTCAGCATAATTGGAAAATGTGAATTTCAACTCCAACGTTCAGAAGTCGGTTAGAAGTGATTGGGTATGAGTAAATCAAAATAAAGTCTACGGTTCTTAAATGCTATAAAATGATAAAAACGCTTTGTTTCTATCACATGTTTTGGACGTAGATTGAAGATAAATTCTTCTGGTGTTCGTGTCTCTATATACATGTAAAGTGCCCCTGTAACCTAGGAAACATATTTCTGTATAACGCAGGCGATTACGTATGAACGTTCCCACTAGCCTATCAGCATTTCCGGTAAACACTGTGCAGCAAATTGTTTCATTTTTCCTCAACCATTTCTATCAAACAATCTTAACCGTAATGTCTTCTCGACGACACAATGCCCCCCAAATACGCAACACCCATTTCACTCCTAGAGTCCGAACTGAGCGCGTTCGTGGCCAACGTGGAAATGTTGACACGAAAAGGAATCACCTCGATCCCGGCAATTCACGTGGCCCCGGTCGATACCAATCATCGCAATCAGACCGCGGATTCGAACGCAATTTGGTACTCGGCCACCGTGGTCCCACTGAACAATGATTCATGGATTGGAGTAAGCGCGCCCGTGGTGATTGGACCGAACACAGTTCAAAGTGAGAGCCGACTTCATACAGGTACTTCGGGTAAGTTAATGAAATGTGTCAATAATAAGCTTTACAGATAGCAATGCTCCACAAAGCTCAGTCGATTTTTTGAATGGGCAAGGGATATCTATGCTAAATAACCAACATGGTATGTCACTATGACCAGTCAAAGTTGTCAATTGTGAAATTTGTGGATAAGTCAGCGACACTTGGTCAAAGGTCTATTTAAGCCTGTAAAGTGGGCGATTATGTGGAGTTTGCAACTTTGAGCATGGCACTCACCTGCGTGTAATGTGTAGTAATACGTCACACGTCAACCAACTATGTTGGTGGTTGCTTGCGAAAATTAATTACAAACTGTGTATATTTTCTCACAGGGGCTTTCATCAGTTCCCAAAAATATATTTAACTGCAATTGAAACGAACCAAATACGTTCACCTAATCCGTCTGTTTCTTTTTTCTTGTCATCTACATTTTTCATTCAGTAATGACGCGGAGAATTCCGAGAGAGAGAGAGAGGTTACAATTGTTATGATCAGTTAGTTGGTCATCTGGCAACTGTTTAGAACGGTGTTAGTCTATGCACGGAAAAGTTTCAGCACAGCTGTCCCCAATTGTGTATACTCTTCCCAATCAGCTGGTCTGTCCCCAATTGTGTATGGCACACGTTGATTGAGTATGAATGTAATGAATTATTTATTTCACCACCTATGTCAAGCAGAATAGTGTCAACAGTGCCTAAAAGCTAATAGAAAGGAAAAATGGGTCATGAAATGTAGTACTACTTGGTTGTCTGGGAGTATCATAAGGGAAAACGCTCTGAGCCTGCAGTAGGACGGTATCAATCTGGGTGGTGTTGTATGTCGACAGGGCATTGCGAGGCAAAGATTGCCAGGCATTGGAATATAACGTTCTTTGAATGGACTCCCTTAAACGGGGAAACCAATATATATATATCAGAAAGCTTGCACGGCGATTTATCCCTTTATGGCCATTCGAATCTTTTCTGTTCTGTGCCAGTCGGTAGGAGGATCCTTCGGTTTACTACAGAGCATAGGTGGTGCAGGTCGAGGGCACAAAGACATCATTTAAACATGGGGATGTGTAAGTATGGTTAGAATAATTGACTTAGCAAACTATGTAAATTATCCTTCTGCAAGCGTCCTCACAAACAGAATACGTGCTTTGTATTGTCTTGTTTACGATTTCAGATAAACATCCAACTTGTGCAACGGATCATGCCTTAGACAAGCACTTACACAAGATATTAGCGTATACTTGCCATATTGATTGCGTTTACACTGAAAGCAATTTTTGACCCGAAGGATTTCAGGAAAATATTATCAACTGTTTGTTGCGCCTGATCGGTCTGATAGAACAAACAAACGCATGAAAAGTGATATATCTTTAGGAGAAAAAGACGAACACTTGGCATGAGATAAAAATTGCGATAATTAGTATGTGTAATATGTGTTTTGTCTAGGGAATGAGAGAGAGAGGGTCAGTGATTAAAAACCAGGAGGCGAAATTATTCTCCAATTGAGTAGACATAGGACCACAATTGCTAGGGTAGCTGGCTAAATACAGTACACTTTAAAATAGGTATTAAATACATGGAGAAAGGAGACACATTTGTGCGAACGAAATCAGAATGTAAAACGAGATGATGGAAATTTAATAATTGACATTTGTGTATACGTCTGTGTGTCCGTACGTGTGGAAAGTGGATGTGAAAGGTTGATTGGGTGAATGATTGAGAGTTCATGACCGGAGGTAACATCACCAGATTCTTAGTGGATCGCCATGATAGGACCAGAGCTTTTATAAACTATTTCTGGGACCAAAAACCGGGACGGGGTGTGGAGACTGGTGACAATCTTCTCGGCCGTTGATAAAACTCGGAATCTGATCACTTTGGTTGCATACTGATTCAGTTTACAATGCAAGAACGTTTCGATTCGATAAATAGAAGGAGTTCAGGAAATATCCTCAACAAATCACCGCGTCTTATCGGTCGAATTAACTCGTGAGAGGAGATAAACCAGATATACGTGCCTGTGGGAAAGGGGTGAAAAAATTGGAATGAGATTAAAATTGCGATAATTGGTAGGCATAATATTTGATTTTGTGTATGAATGAAAACTAGAACATCAAATTAAAACTGGAAGACACACAGTGTTTGTATGACCTGTTCAACAAGTGGGAAACGTTATGAAAACGAATTAATTGGCGTCGTCCGTCGACAGAATTCCGGGCTGTTCTTGGATGAAACAAGTTCTGGCCAAGGATCGAAATCCTCGCAGGCGCTCTGTTTGTGTGATACGGCCTAGTCTAACGGCAATTAGCTTCGGTTGCTTTGGTTCTTGTCAAACGCCTGTGGAATCATTGAACTAATAAACGCGAAATGATTTATCATCTCACATGATCTGTCTGTTCGTCGTCTGCATGTAAAGGATATTGGGTTGGACGGGATTATGATGAGCTGTCCAGTCTAAAATACGCGCATCAGATAGACAGAGCAGGTCGATTGTAGAATCATTCGCAACCACCTTCCATTCCTTTTTATATAGAGGCTTGCATGCATATATGAAAGACTAATTGGTTATTTTCTGTACAAATGTTTTTTGTATATCTCAAGTTATTCTTTACTTGTGTGATGAATAGCAGAGGGCGCGAACCCTGTAGTCACGAGGAACCTGCTGTTCAGAGGTGGAAACCGGCAACCTAAGCCCTGGGACTTGGAGTCGCGAACCACATAAGACCCCGATGGGTTACGCATAGTATTGAACCGGACGACAGCAGAGCGGCCTAACAACAAAGTTGGGTGGAGGTGGCGGGGCTCGAACCCCGGACCACAGGGTCCAAAGCGCGCCGGTGACAACGACTATACCACTGCGCCATCACCACCCAAGATTGTGCCTTGCTTCTGTCAGTGAGGTATAAAATGCTGTGTTGGTCGTTTTGAAGCGTACAGTGACAGTTTGCAGTACCTCCCATTAGTTATGGCTACACGTTCATGTCCTACGCGGTTCGTGTACTCAACGCACGCTTTATTTTCATGCACTCCACCAATTACGATCGCGTAGCCCCCGCACGGGCATAAGCACCGGCCAGTTATGAGCTCTGAGTGCGCGATGCGGAATGCGAACTGCTGGACCACAAATTGTAAAAAAGTACCACATTTGGTTTGTACTTGTGTGCACTTGAATTTCAGTTGGGTATACTCGATAAGTATAAATAAGCTTTGCATATTGTCATGGCTTTCGGAGAGACAGAAGCCAAATCGGAAGTCAAATTGGAATACGGTCTTTTGGAATCTTGCCTAGAAAGAAGCTTCCATTTGAACGACACTATTGACTTTCTATGCACTAGTTGGCGAGGTTAATTAGATGCACAATAATAGACAACTATGGTCACCGTAGGCATAAATTATATTTGTAATTTTATTGTTTAATAACATCTACATCGCTCTCTCGGCTTGTTGTGTGTACTCTGGCGAGCACAGAATGGCGCCCAAGTTGTATTTTTGAACTCTTCAAGAATCTATCAACGATGGTGTGAAGACACCCCGGGAGTTTTAGTATTCTTGTTTGAGATTGTATGGAGATCGCTTACCTTTAAAGACTATCGGATCCGAATAGACATTTTCTATTTCGATGTGCTACTAAATGATAAACTGCGATTAGATTCACTTAGCACGACGCCTGTGCACCTGCATTCTCGCAAACACATTACGTGTGTACGGTTTTCAAAACTTCGTCCCTCTGAATTTACACATTCGTTCTGGCGAGTTTGAATCGGACTCCGTTGTCACGTGAGACGGCTGCCGACTGCCGTCTGTGCATGAGCAATTATATCTTACGAATCAACAACTCCGTAACTTCATTTTTTGTTCCGACCTTTCTTCGACGAGCATTAATTCAAAAGATTTGTTAAAGAGGCACAATGAACACGTCATATCGATAAATAAATGAATGAGTCAATCACCATTGACTCCATATGAAAGACATTCAACTGACCAGGGTCCCTAAGTTGGCAAGACAATGTTTGTAAGCTCGATGTTAAGCTTGCAGAACAAATCCAAACCGGAATCCCTGATCTCAACAACACATTTGTTGTTCTTCGAATAAGACAAACGGCTGACACTGATTTAGTGTTGTAACGTTGGATTGGACGATACGACTGGACTAGCACGAACCGTGACCAACGATAAATGCGGCAGCAGTGATCCACGAACAGAACCGTACAACCCAGCGAAATAGTGACCGTACACTGCTGTGCCCGACTGCAGTACCTCAAGCAAGTTCCAATAGAACCGGAACGAAACGCCCCACGGAAGCAGTACGATCCCCGAAACTCGACCAGAGAGAACACGGAAAACAAGCCTTCCGGCGAGGTTGTATATTTCGCTTGACCGTAAAAGACGAAGAAATCGGAAAGCTCATCTGTTTATATGCAATTTATATACAAGCCATCAATGACCTTGGAAAATAGATCGAAGGTAGATAGTCATGCAAAAATTGGCCAATGGGGATCAAGTATGGCCGGTGGTGCCGTATGAGTCTTATGGGGCGCGGAAATCTGAAAATTCAAATTTTATAAAAATAAATAGAAAAATAGAGAGAAACAGTCACTTTTGAGGTGAAAAATAGGGCCTACCTATCATTTAGTCACAAACGGACTCACTCAATTACGAAGATATCAAAAAATCCAGAAAAATGATATATCACAGTTATTGCCTTGCGAATAAGCATGGCTCCAGCGAAACAACAACAATAATAATAGATGGGTACTTTGGAATACAACCTAAGGCAATTTTAGGGATTATCTTCACATGAATCTGTTGTTTTTAAAGTTCCCAGCTAAATTACCGGATTTTGTTTAATTTACAAGCACCCTGCTCTCACTCATCGTATCCTCAGCGCACCCTTGGAACAACCAACTTATTGATTGATTATTTGGTCGAATTCATCTTTTCTCCACGGTCTGAATCAATGTTCTGCATCGTTGCGATTCAGACGCGATAATATACCATTGCTTGTTCACAATCACAAGACGGGGACACGCCACGCTGATCACATCAGGGCTGTAATCAATTTGTACTATTTGTGTCAGGGTTATCAAACTTGAAAAAAAATCATCGGAGCGGTTCAATAGGGATCTGCTTACGGTGGAGTTGGGGTAGGTGACAGAGTCAATTCACACTAACCGCGATTAGGAGAAACGCAAATGTTTAAGTAAGNTGTGTGTGTGTGTGTGTGTGTGTGTGTGTGTGTGTGTGTGTGTGTGTGTAGAGACAAGCACGAGTGTGATCAGTCTGTTTGCAGCAGTCAGGTCCATTTTTATACGGCTGAATGAACCACGATTGAAATCGGAAACTTTTCTTCTCAAGAAAGAAAAGTATAACATTATTTGTATAGTTTTCCTCAATAAAGATTGAACTTAAAATTGTCTCCGGTTGCAGTTATTTGCACCGACTACTATACTAGAAAAGACGGATTTTGAAAATCGATTTGTTGAGGTTCTCATGGTTATTGCACAGCTTTATTCTTAAATATTCCGTCAGACCAAGGCTAGTACACTATAACCATCTTTTCAATAGTGAAATCACCAAAGCTATCCGATGCAATTGGCGACATTTTCTATGCATCCAAACCTCGTGTATTGTTCACATTTTTACCATCGAAGGACAAAGTTCCTGATTTTAATGTCTCATTCTGTGTATACTCATTTACCGTTTCCTGTGAAACAACGTGCATAGGTCAGGGGATAGTCCGTACGGACACCAGAACGACTAAGACACTCACCAGTGCAGTGGTTTCATACCTAGCTCAAAACAAATCACACTGTGAACGTGGTCGAGGTTTTCCACCATCTGTATACAGTTTGTGGGCAATTCTCAAGGCGGGTTCGCTATCGAATGCTAGTCACTGGAGAAGCGGTGGGGATTCGTTTGTACAACCCCCTCCCCCTTATGGTGCTCCAAAACGATTTGTTCAGGCTCTTAAGCGCTCTAACATGAGTAACCTTTATGATCGGATAAGTGGCCGAACAACTGTATGATCATGATGAATGCGATATCCGGTTTTGTGATGAAATTGATGCCAGTTATCTGTGATGTGATTTTATTTTATTTTTCCGAGATAATTTTTTTCTCAACTAGTGACATATATACATATATATGCATGTATTTTTGATGTATCGAAACGAATACGAATCAATGAAAACGAGCTTGTGCGTTACTGCTGTTGTCTTGTTTGAAATGTGCTCTGTGAGACTAATGAGTCAATTAGAGCTCCTTTCATATTATCACTTAATGATGAGCTAGAACAAAATGTGAACCAGATGACTGATTTCCACATACGTCTAACCGCGGAACACTCGTTAATCTTCAGTTGATTCGATATGGATTCCAAAATCCTAAATACATTATTGATCATCATTCTTCTCGTACTGTGTGAATATTTCCCCGAGAGAGTCGTGCTAATTACCTTCAACAAACATCCTTCCATGTCTATATTGAGTGTGAGCTTATCTCAGTTGACGAGCACCGGTGATGCCTCACGTTGTTAGACAGTTCTTGTCACTGTCGTACTCGTCATAATGCAGCTAGTTTGTCGTGAAGGTGGTCATGTGTGGTAAATAGTTTGTGATTCATTCAGTTCTCGCACTCGCGTGATATGTCACCCTTCAGTTTTTGCTTTTAAACGCTTTCGTAATGTAACCCATCACGTGCTACGTCTGCCCTCGTTATTTTCTCTCTCATTGATTGAACAAACAATAGGAACCTGTTCGAAATCGATTTCTGTTCCCACATGCTTAGTTACTACTGAGTTGGAATGTCTCATCATCAGTATCATCAAATCCATACAGATCGTATGAGAAAATAATCCGTGGGGAAGGTTTCTGGGCCCATTTTCAAGTGTGTGGGTGTGTGTGTACGGTTTTGATCTTGGATACAGATGCTAAAATGTTATCACAACCAGAGCAATGAGAAAGTATTTGTGTTGATTGTTATTGCATTTAGAGAACTTCTATCCATTTCCATTGAGGAATCGCCATATCATCTTGAATATCCAACTCATAGCACACTTTTCACGATTTACAATACTTTATTCAACTTCCATTTATGATCTGTATTTATCAAAGTCACCACAATTTTATCGTTGGTGTTCTCATATAGTATCATGTCCAATACTGATATCATCATGATAACTGTCCCTGGTATTATACGTCCTACTTATGCGTTTGGACTTACGCTAGTCAATGAATTAACCCGCACTTTCAACGTCCACTAGATTCACCCACGGGAGTAATCACACCTTGTTTTGACATTTTAGCCAAAGAGAACAAATCGCATGTAGCTTTTGTCCAACTCGTATCCCGTCCATTTTCCCCCGATTTAGACCGCCTTCATTGCGTTAGTTTAGAGCGAGAAAAACGTTCCCCTGAAAGAGTTTTGTTCATTTTTATATGACACGGTTCACTCATTTGAGTTCTAGTTCTATAGTTCAAAACTTATCATCACATCCATCGACCCAATTGGGAATCGAACTCGGAACCACACAGGTATGACGCAGGGATGCTACCCACTTGATCATCTGGCTGCTGATGAGACTCTTGTTCATTTTGAATACATAATTTTTTTACATTAAAGTGAGCGTCAAATCTCACGTTTGTCAACAGTAACCTCTGGGGTTATCACTCTGTGAACTCTGTAGACGTTTACAACTTGGTTAGTTGTTGTACGAAAGTATTTGCGTTCTATCCGTGTGATCCCAGGTTCCATTCCCAGTTGAATCTATAGATTCGCACTACCGATGAAATCTAATCGGTTCAAAACAACTGTCCAGTGCTTCGTAGCTTTTCAGCTCACGCTCCATTTACTCGACCAATGTAATATATAATCAAACTCAATCGTTCAGTACTCTCATACCATTATTCTGTTGTTAATCCAACCTTCCACTTATTTTGACCTCATTCCTATCTAACATCGATTGATGTATACTCATATTGGTCTTCACTTAATTCGTGTCGCTGTAAACCAGTTACCATTAATCCTAAAATACATGATTTTGACTGCAACCTGGCTGAACATCTTTGGTGATAAGGTGCTTTGCCCTCGTCAGGTTTTTAGTACCATACGGTTTCCCAGTTCGACATTGCTTGAAACAGAGTTACTGAGTTACACAGTTACTGATTCCCCTAACCGTTTAGTAGACTGTCGTGATTGTAAAGTTCACCCGACCCTGGTGCGAGGATAGCGGCATTGATGTGCTCCTGGATGGCAGACTGATTGATCTGGAGTATCCAAACGAGTTTGTTTTTAGTTTTTTTTTAGTTTTTATTACACATCTAGGTGTGATGAACCGCAGACGGGGTAAA